ATCATCTCCGTCTCTCATCTGTCTCCTCTCGCTCTGTTCTCTCGTCTCCTCTTCTACGTCTCCCTCTTCTCTCTTTCGCTCTCGCCCTTTCTCCACACACACACACACACACACACGCATCTCATTCATCCGTATACATGTTGATTGATCTATAGCGCCGTCGTACTGGTCTACAACCTTCCTGGCGTGGCCGACCTCAACCTAACCCAGCAACTCATCGTCGGCATCTACAACGGCAGCTACACCTGGTGGAACGACACGGAGCTCGTCGCCGCAAACCCCTCCGTCCGGTTACCTAGCGTACCCATCCTCCCGGTCGCACGTGCCGACGCCTCGGGCACCACCAACGTGTTTACGTCGGCGCTCTGTCGCTTCTCGCGCGACTGGAACGCCACCTACGGCCGCTTCCACAAAGGTGCGGACGACGACGTCGGCGGAACGATGCGCCGCTGGCCGCCGCAGGTGGCGCTGCTGCTCGGCGTACGCAACCGCGGCATGGTCGGCCTCGTGTTGTCGTTGCCGCACACTATCGGCTACCTGTCGCTGGCCGACGCCGGAGAGGCAGGGCTGCGCTATGCACGCGTAACTAACCACGCTGGCGTCTACGTAACTCCGGGGGCGGCTGCCCTACTGAGTGCTCAGGAACCGCGGCAGCTCGGGAAGCGACTGACGAGCGACCTGGTGGACACGCACCACGCCGACAGCTACCCGTTCGCCACCTACTCGTACTTCATCGTGCGCATGCGCACGATGCGCGACTGCAGCGCCGCCGCCGAGTTAGTCCGCTACGTCACGTGGCTGGCGACGTCGAACGAGGCGCATATGCTGGTGAACAGCAAGGGATTCGTGGGACTGAGCGACCCCGTGGCTGAGTTAGTCGTCAATCGAGTCGTTAAGGTGGGTATTGTCAGCCTGTTCTGCTTGCATCTATGACAAATACGACATACGCATATACGCTCTCTTATGACACTATTTTTCATAGGAAGATTCTTCCTGTGACAAATATTGTTGTATGTGTTGTACGCATCATAGAAGATCACTCGTAAAATATCAACCGGTGGTGGCCATTTGGGAAAATGGCCGCCATTGTTGCCATAGGCCAAATATGCGATGGCCATATAACCAAAAATCTTCCATAGGGCATATGCGCTGGCAGTGTGCCAAAGCTCATGTTTGTATTATCAATGGAACAATTCATTCACATATCTGCCGGGCTATTACCCCTGAAAATGACCGTACCATTCCCCCTTCACCTTTATCCTGCCATTACGATCATGAGCAAGCCTGTCTTGGTCCCCACCTGGAAATAATCTTATTACGCTTATGATCTCCGCCCTACTTTGGAAATAACTGCTGTTTGTCAATAAATGTTCAGGATAAGTTCCGTTAATATTACGGAGTAAATGAAGCCGCAAATGTTCTTGCTCCTTTCACATGTATCTATTTTTATTTTGCTAGTATAGATTTTTATGGCTTCGTAGTTTCTAGCACATAATAGGACTATTGTGTGAGTATTACCAATTACCTTATTACGTCAGGGCAATTTGACGATCAGACTGCGAGTCGACTCAGCTTGCAACTACAGCACTTAGGTGGCCCGGATAAACCATAACGTTGTTGTTATATTATTATTATTACCTCCGTCAAGGGGTTGGCAGGAGATTATGTTTTCACCGGCGTGTGTTTGTTGGTTTGTGCGTGTACAGCCTAACTGAAAAAGTTATGGACGGATTGTCATAAAATTTTCAGGATAGGTCAGAAATGGGGTAACTTAGAACTGATTCGATTTTGGTGGTGATCCGGATCCAATTAATTAATTAATTAATTGATTAATAACATTTTTAGGATAGGTCAGAAATGGGGTAACTTAGAATTGATTACATATTGGTGGTGATCCGGATCCAATCAATTATTTAATTAATTAATTAATAAAAATTTTTGCAGTGACAGAATTCAGCTGCTTTGGCGGAGATCTGTGCTCTCCGAGTGCTCTAGTTATTATTATTATCATGTGCTGTCACGTCTGCATCTTCCATGCACGGGGGCGGGAAAAGAACAAGGAGAAGAGGTAGAGAAAGAGTGACAGAGACAAAGAGAGAGAGAGAAAAAAAAAGAGAGAGAGAGAGAGAGAGAGAGAGCGAGAGAGAGAGAGAGAGAGAGAGAGAGAGAGAGAGAGAGAGAGTATTATCACTAACGATCATGTATGGACAGTGTCCAATAATAAGCATTGTCACTACCGATCGGCCAGTAGCCAACATTTAATAAGTTTTTTTTAAAGCCAGGCATTTGTAACAGGCAATCGATGCGAATAAAAAGACGAATAAAAAATCGAGTTGTTTGATCTCGCGTGAGAAGAACCTTCAGAGGCGCGCTTAGCAGTATATATCGCTCCTTGTCGTCATCAGTAAAAACCAATTCACGCGCTGCTGCTATGACAACGAATCTAAACATCGAATAATAGAAATCCTAGAATCACAGTCGCCTAGTTTCTCATCAAACTGCATGCAGTGCACCTTCGTACACCCAGGATACCACTGCCACAATGCTAGCACTATTTTTAAAGTGGGCGGAGCTCTGGGGAAATCCAGGTGAATATAGAGATTCGTAAACAGCTTATGATTTGAAAGTCGTAAATGGGCGCACAATACGCGCACTATTTCGTATCACTATTTTATCAAATTTTTCATAAAATAATGGTTGGATTTTTAATATCTTTGCAACTTTTATTAGTCCAAATCTTATTACATAGGATACGAGTAACGTGGCTGCTGTAAAACTTGTGGTCAAAAAGCGTAAAACGGAAATCTGTTTGTGGCAGTGGTAACGTTAATGATTACCTCCCTTCGTCCTGCTCCTCCTCGACAGTGTAGCCGTGCGGAACATAACGACTGTATTATACAGGTTAGTGGCAGTGGTAGATTGAGCCCATGAGCGAGAGCGCCATCTGTCGTGGAGTTTGGTTTCTCATATGCGGGGCGATATCGTGGTGACTGATGCCCACGCCACCTCGCGGAAATACCTCCTACGCGATTGCGTGGCGACCGATGCGCCAACGGCGGCGGCAAGGAGCAACACGCCTGTAAGCCGACGACTGTGTAACTGTGTGCCGACGACTGTAAGCCGACGACTGTAAGCCGACGCTGCATGCTAGGGGGGTCTCGGGGCATGCCCCCTCTGAAAATTTTTGAATGGTAGACGTCTGGAGATGCAATCTGGTGAGTCTTGCGAGAGAGATTTAGGAACAAAATGTAGGAACAAAATTGTTTAACCCAAAATTTACTGGAAGCACTGTGCTTCCAGTGCTTCTATCTGCGGGCGCCACTGCCCCCTTCGCACACTCAGGATACGTAGTGAGCCCATGAGCGAGAGCGCCATCTGTCGTGGAGTTTGCCTCTTTACATCGAACGTACACCTGTGTAGCAGGTCGCATTGCGCAGGCGCATTGCGATCTGACCTTTATTGCTCATGCGCAGTGTAGAAGGGGGACGTGTTTGTATGGCGTATCTTCCGCATGCCGGTGAAATGGAGCGGGGGCTAGCCAGTGATTCCCTTAATTAAAGCAAGCATCTCGTGCTGTCGCCATTTGCTGCAATCTCCTAATGCGCCCGATGGATAGGTCGAGAAACTGGGAAAATATAGAGGAAAGATCGGCTCGCGAAATCTGATTAGGTTCATGAGCATTAGTTCAAGCTTTAGTATAACAACGATGTGTGAGGGCGCGATTGAATCCCAGCTGATGACCGGGAAGCGATCGATAGCGCCATATTTGTCCTACCTCTCAGACGACAGTTAGTTCATGGATGGGTGCGAGCGCGCGAGCGGGCAGGCAGCGTGCATGGCGGCAATTATATGTGTGTATGTGTGTGTGTGTGTGTGTGTGTGTGTTACATCGTAATTATTACGTGTACATGCTAATCATACAGGTAATATTTACGTGTACATGTAATCTACATGTTAAATATACGTGTACTGTAATCTACAATGTAATATTACGTGTACATGCTAAATCTACATGCCTAATATACGTGTACATGTAATCTACATGTAATTTACGTGTACATGTAATCTACTATAGTAATATTACGTGTACTGTAATCTACATGTAATATACGTGTACATGTAATCTACAATGTAATATACGAAATGCTACATGTTCAATCTACATGTAATATAGTGTACATGTAACTCTACATGTAATGATACGGTGTACATAAGTAATTCTACATGTAATTATACGTGTACATGCTAATCTACATTGTAATATACGGTACATGCTAATCTACATGTAATATTACGCGTACATGTAATCTACATGTAATATACGTTGTAACTATGTAAATCTACATTAAATATACGTGCTACCACTATAATCTACATTGTAATATACTGTGTACCATGTAATCTACATGTTAATATTACGTGTACATGTAATCTACATAATGTATAATGAACATGTACAGTGTGACATTAATCTACATGCTAATATACGTGTATATGTAATCTACATGTTAATATACGTGTTGTACATGTTAATATTACGCGTACATGCTAATTCTACATGTAATATACGTTGTACATGTAATCTACATGCTAATATACGCTCGCTACTACAGTAATCTACATGTAATTTACGTGTACATGTAATCTACATGTCATATGCGCGTTCGTGTATCTTGTCGTCTCCATCTACGTGTATAATGGACGTATAATGAGTATTAATGGACGCATATAATCGGACCGTTATACATGCACGTCATAATGACGTACTATGTAATGTATTATAATAAAAATTATGTAATGTATCACCACTTTCGCTCTCTCTCTCTCTCTCTCTCTCTCTCTCTCTCTCTCTCTCTCTCTCTTCTCTCTCTCTCTCGTCGCTCTCTCGCTCTCTCTCTCTCTCTCTTTCTCTCTCTCTCTCTTTTTTTCTTCTCTCTCTCTCTCTCTCTCTCTATCGTTTCTCTCTCTCTCTCTCTCTC